AGGTCATCTTCAGAGTCAAATGTCTCCTGATATTCTGATTTTTCTAAAGTAGGGTTATAAAAATTCCTAGCAGGAAAGAAAATCCCACAAAGTCTGATTTGATTTGTGGTAACACTGACAAGCCAATGTCAGTGTTGAAGGCCTGACTGACTGGTATAGAACAGTGGTTTTCAAATTCTGGTTTTTCATCCAGCACCATCAGCATCATCTGGGAACTTGTCAGAAATATAAAATCTGAGGTCCCACACCAGAAATTCTGAATCAGAAATTCTGAGTGGGCAGAGCAATTTATGTTTTCACAAGCACCCCACCCATGTGATTCTAATGCATGACAAAGTTTGAGAACCACTTGAGGAATTAGTAAAGATACAAAAAGCCTTGGCCATATCTTACTTCAAGGAGCCTAGCTCCAGTGATGTTTAGTAGCTCTCCAAGTGATTCTGACACACACCAAAGTTTGAGAAACTTTGATAGAGCTCTACGAGGGAAGCTCTGTTACACCAGACCTCTAGGTAAATCCTAGCCAATAGTCATCCAGAGCAGTGTTAAGAGAGGTAAAACCATATGCCAAGAGGATGATCTATACAGTACTTGAAAATACATCATGTCCCTTTTCCAGAGAGTACTGTCTTTAAGGCAAACCACATGTTTTGGTATTCTGATATTTGAGTTCATTCCCATTGGCGTACAATAAATACATTTTAAAACTCTAAAACACCTCTAGGGTCTCCTCGCTTTAAAAAAAACAACCTCAACCTTACATCCCACTCAAGCTACCATACCATTTTTCTGCTTCTGTTAATTGCTAAGCTTAAGAGACTTCTATTCTCTCCTGTCCCCACCTCCTCACCTCCTAATCATTTCTCAACCTACAACCCATCTTCCACATCCAACACTCCATTCACACTTTTTTTTGTCAATTTTACCAAAGCCTCCTATGTGCCAAATCCAATCAATATTTTTCATCCTCATCTTATTTTGCTTCTCAAAGATATCTGACAATTGATCATCCCCTCCTTTTTAAAATATTTTGCTCTCTTGCCTCCCAAAATAACACTCACTTCTGGGTTTTCTTCCTACTTCTTTGGCTTCTTCTTACTGAGTCCAGGATCCTCTTCTCATTCTCTATATTTTCCCTAGGCAATTTCATGGTTTTAAAATATCATTTGTATGCTGATGTGTCCCAGATGTTTATCTTTAGCTTAGATTTCTCTTCTGAGATAAAAACTTATCTATTTAATTGCTTACCTTGGATTTTTATTTAGACTTAAAATATCCAAAAATGAGTTCTTTAATATTCCCCTTCTATAGTTCTCTTGTAATATTTCCTATCTTAATAAAAAGCACTTCTACTCGCCTAATTGTTTATGCCAGACATTTTTTAACTACAAAACAGAAAATGTTAAAAAATATTCCCCATTTTAAAATGGGCTTTTTAATAGTCCTGACCAAAATTTTACTTTACAGTTATAAGAAGATTAAGTTATGACCACATTTTCATAGAGATCACTGGTAAGAAACATAAATAGGACACTTTATAAAAACAATTTTCTCTATGAACCCAAGTGATAGCATACAAATATATGTACACTTTCCATCAAAATAATATATAGACATGTACCATGTTTCATCACAACACTATGGACAAGCCACAATGTAGTACGAACAGTTGTAAATTTATACGGGATCATGACAAATTTACAAAGTGTCATTGCTTTGTTTAGCTATTTCTTCACTGAAAAATATGAAGCCATATCTAAGTATTTATGGTCCTAAATATAAGTAAAAAATTTTACTATCAAAGAAAAAACATATTTTTCCATGATTCTTGACTGATAAACTTTTAATTTATGGGCCTATTTCCAAGTTTATCTATGTTATAACTGAAGAGAAGAAAACATGTTTTTCTACCAGACTTTAAAATATATATATTTATTTATCAGGGGGAAAAAACTCACCAATTTTTTCATCCAAGCACATAATTTTCTCCTGAGTAAGCTGTAGCTCATACTTTTTCTTAGCAAGATGTCGCTGAGTATCAGAAAGATCTTTTTCTGTATTTTCATATAAAAGTCTGTAAACATTTTAATAATAAAACTAATTCTGAAATATTTATGCTTTATCAACTTTTTAGTGTATTTAAATCTAAAAACTGGTAAGGACTGTAATATACATTTTTTCTTTTTAATATTTTCTTTATAAAAGTACATTAAAGGAAGTTTGGAGAATAAAGGGTAAAAAGTTCTCGATAAAAAGCTACTATTAGCATTTTGGTGTTCACATTCAGTATTTTTTCACAATATATATTTTAAAGTTACCATACTATAAATTCAAAATTGAATCGTGATTTTTTTTTTTCACTTACACTTAATCTTTAATATTTTTCAGTCCTATAAAACAGCCCTCCAAATCACCATTTTCTGGCTGAAAAGTATTATATGAGCAATAGCCATTTACTTTTCTTTTTTTTTTTAAGATTTTATTTATTTATTTGTCAGAGAAAGAGTGCACACGCAGGGGGAGCAGCAGGCTCACTGCCGAGCAAGGAGCTGGATGTGGGACTCGATCCCAGGACCCTGAAATCATGACCTGAGCTGAAGGCAGATGCTTAACCAACTGAGCCACCCAGGCATCCCAAACATAAAGTACTCTTGACACAACACCCACAGAAAGCTCCTAAACCAGGTTATCACAAATACCCCACCACAACCTAAATAATAAAAACAAAACCCCCTCCAGTATATACACACCAAGAGAATCTACCATGAAAAAAAATGGAAAAAACACTATCAAAAGCATAAATAACTGAAATCTTCAATAACGAAAAACCAGGGGAAAGCACGAACACAGTGTCGCCCACTACCACAAATTATGCGGTCAACTTTCCTACATCTGGAGTGCAATGGATAAGCCTCATCCTGGGAAAACCACATTTGTGAGTATAATAAGAAAATTTTTTGAAAATATAGTGAAATTCCACTGTAGTCTAAATGAAGAATCTTTTCATATGCGTTGACAAATTATTTTCTTAGCTTTTTTTCTTGTAAAGCAGCATTTAAAAATGCATACTAAGGGGTGCATGACTGGCTCGGTCAGTGGAGCATGCAACTCTTGATCTCATCAAGGTTGTGGGTTCAAGCCCCACACTGGGTGCAGACTTTAAAAAATGCATGCTAAAATCAGAAGCATAAATGTAACAAGCCTATCAATTCAAATGACAATGATGAGTCCTGAAAGACACAGGATTGTGCAAAACCTTCCAGTGCACACTGTGGCTATTCTTATGCTGTTAAATTGCATTGCAGCCATATGCTTTCCAAAATAGCCATATCCCCCTGCACAACACAGGGATCTATCTATTAAAAAAACAAAATAGAAAACTACACACATAATCAGAAGTTCTCAAATCAGATCTTTAAATCACTGACCAATAAACCACACCTAAAACAGACATTTAAGCAATAGAAACTTTAGAAATAAAGCTGGTAGCTTCTTTTGCAGACTCTTTTAACACTGATGTCAAAAAAGACTCTTACAACTCTAAGATATATTTAGAACTCTAAACAACCTACTTTTTTTTCTCTCAAATGCCCAGAGTCCTAGAAGAGACTTTTGCTTGCTTCCAAGCTTGGGCAATTATGATTAAAGCTGCTATAAACATCGAGTGCAGGTTTTTGTGTGCACATAAGATTTCAACTACTTTGAGTAAATACAACAGAGCGCTATATGGTAAGAGTGTGTTTGGCTTTGTAGAAACTGCCAAACTGTCTAATAAAAGTGGCTGTACCATTTTGAATTCCCACCAGCAATGAATAAGAGTTCCTGTTGGCCCACATCCTCACCAGCATTTGTCGTCAGTGATTCAGATTTTGTCCATTCTAATAGGTATGTAATGGTATCTCACTGTTGTTTTAATTTGCATTTCCCTGATGACCTATGATGTAGAGCATCTTTTCATATGCTTATTTGCCATCTGTATATCTTCTTTGTGGAAGTCTGCTAAGGTCTTTGGCCCATTTTTTAATTGGGTTGTTTGTTTTCTTATTGTTGAGTTTTTAGAGTTCTTTGTATGTTTTAGAGAACAGTTCTTTATCAGCTGTGTCTTTTGCAAATATTTTCTCCCAGTCTGTGGCTTGGCTTCTCATATTCTTGACATTGTCCTTTGCAGAGCAGAAGTCTTTATTTTTAATGAAGTACAGTTAATCAATTATTTCTTGTGTGGATTGTGCCTTTGCTGTTATACCTAAAAAGTCATCAACATACTGAAGGTCATCTAGGTTTTCTCCTGTTATCTTCTAGAGGTTTTACAGTTTTGCATTTTACATTTAGGAATATGATCCATTTTGAGTTAATTTGAAGGTGTGATATCTGTGTTGCAATTTTTTTTTTGGCATGTGGATATCTAGTTGTTTCAGTACCATTTGTGGAAAAGACTGTCTCTGCTCTACTTTATTGCCTTTGCTCCTTTGTCAAAGATCAGTTGACTATATTTATGTGGGTCTATTTCTGGGCTTTCTATTCTGTGCCATTGCTATTTGTCTATTCTTTTACCAACACGACACTGTCTTGATTACTGTAGCTTTATAGTGAGTCTTGAAGTCAAGTACTGTCAGTGCTCCAACTTAGTTTTTCTTCAATATTCTGTTGCCTATTCTTTTGCCTCCCCATATAAACTTTAAAATCTGTTCATTGATATCCACAAATAACTTGCTGTGATTTTGACTAGAACTTACTGAATCTATAGATCAAGTTGAGAAGAATGGACATCTGAAAATATTATGTTTTCCTATCCATGAACATAGAATATTTTTTTTCTTTTTCTTTTTTACCAAAACAAAACTTTATTTACAGTTGAAAACTTAAACAGAAAATCCTGGGTTCTGAATCTGTGACATTTCCAAGGTCTCTTGATCAAAAAGGGCCGCCGCAGGCAGGGAAGCAAACACAGGGGCCAATCCGGATTATCTTACTCAAGAGCGCCACCCAGAGCAAGGGAAGGCCTACAATGGCAGAGAGGTGAAGGTTTGATCAGTCTTGCTCTGGACTACACCCTCCCCACACTGTGAGATCACCACAGGCAGCTTGGGCTTATTGCTGAAGCCTGTGGGAACATTCTCAATCTTTCGCATCACTATAAGTCCATCAATGATTTTTCCGAACACTACGTGCTTTCCATCCAGCCAATCACATTTAGAGCAGGTGATGAAGAACTGGCAGCCATTTGTACTGGGACCACTGTTTGCCATGGAAAGCAGGCCTGGAGCTGAGTGTCTCAGTTTAAAATTTTCATCTGCAAATGACCCCCGGTAAATTCTGGCAACTCCAGTACCATCTCCATTAACAAAATCCCCACCCTGAATCATGAAATCCTTTATGACCCTGTGGAAGGTGCTCCCTTTGTATCGTATCAGAACCCCACCTTTTCTGAATTCTCCAGAGAAGAACTGTCTAAAATTCTCAGCCGTCTTAGGCACAACGTCCACAAAGAGCTCCATCTTCATGCGGCCAACTTCCTGGCCGCCAGTGCTGACATCAAAGAACGCCACGGGATTTGCAGGATATGTCCTCACTCCTGCATGGGGATTGGCTGACAATGTCATCTGTCATCCTGAGTCTTTCTTTTTTAAAAAGATTTATTTATTTGAGAGAGGGGAGAGGGGCAGAGGGAGAGGGAGAGAGAATCCTCAAGCAGACTCCCTGCTGAGCACAGAGCCCAATTCAGGGCCTGATCTCATGACCCTGAGATCATGACCCATGCCAAAATCAAGAGTAGGATGCTTAACCAACTGAGCTAACCCAGGCACCCCTAGAATATTTTTCAGTTTATTTAGTTCCTCTTTGATTTCTTTCACCAGGCACCCCTAGAATATTTTTCAGTTTATTTAGTTCCTCTTTGATTTCTTTCACCAGTTTTGTACTTTTTCTCATACAGATCTTATACATAATTTGTTAGATTTATACTTAAGTATTTCATTTTGGGGGGTACTAATATAAATTGTACTGTGTTTTCAATTTTAAATTCTACTTCTTCATTGCTAGTATAAAAAAAAGCAATTGATTTTGTATATTAACAACATATCCTGCAACCTTGTAGTAACTGCTTATTAGTTCTAGATTTTTTGTTGATTCTTTTGGATTTTCAACAGAGAATATCATGTCTACAATAGATTTTAATACTGAAATCTTTTTAGTCTCAAATACCCAGACTCAAACTGAAACAGTCTTGGAATCACTGGACACAAAGACCCAAACTAACTTTTTATTAACAGATAGCTCTATCAATCATTCAACTATATGGAAAATTCTTCTTGGGCCTAGAGATGTTTGATAAACAGATGCAGATACACAGATTTTTTTTTAAATCTACTTCTAGAAAATGTTCTGAAAATACTCTAGCTTTTTACTATTGTTGTCTGACATAGAAACCCAAACAGAATAACTTCTGCTACTAAAATATACCTGTTTGAAAGGAAAGTTCATTTAAGCAGTATAGGAACACAGATAATGAGTACTGGTTTTGAAACACTGGGGAATTTCTTCTTCATCAGCAGTGAAACCCAAACAGAAATGCATTAATTTCTTTTTGGCTGATTTGGCTTGGAACACTATGGAACTTCAGTTTAGAGATACAGAAAAACAGGTATGTGCTGAACTGTGCTCAGGACTCAATTTCTAGTGAGTGTTCACACCTGGGACAAAAATTTTCTCATCAACTGACGAAACAGAAAACAGGAACAATATTTTAACTATACTGAATGTAGGTGGATTATGTAGCTTCTGATTAGATTCTCTGTAACTCCTTGCCTTTTGTACATGTAACTATGAAACCTATGATATGAATATATTATAAAGTATAAGATATTGATCTATAAAAAATAAACTGACAGCTGACTCCTCAGCATAAATAATAAGACAGTGGAAAGATATTATCAAAGTGTTAAAAATAATTCCCAACCTTTAGAATTCTCTACCTAGCAAAAATATCCTTCAATACCAGCAAGGTTACAACAGAGGTGGTGAGAAATGCTCTGCTTTTGAGTACATTTTGAAGACAAAACAAACTGCATTGGATATTGATATATGAAATCACAATTACTCAAGGTTTCAGGCCAAGAACTACATGAATAGACTTTCCATTTACTGAGATGGGAAGATTGAAAAAGCAGATTAATGTGTGTTGGTGGGTGAAGGGTAGTGGATAGCAGAACTCAGGTTTGAAAATGTTGTCTATTAGGCATCCCAGTGAAGATGAAAAGGAAGTGGCTGGACATTCAACTCTGGAGTTCAAGAAAAAAGTCCATGCTACAGATATACATTTAAGAGTCAAGAGTAAATACATGAGACTGGATGAGTTCATTGAGGGATGAGTACACAAGAAAAGAAGTGGTCTAAGGACTGAGCTGAGGGACACTCCAACATTTACAGATCATGGAGATGAGGCAGAACTAGCAGAAGAGCCTGAGAAGGACATCCAAGGAGATGAAAAAGAAAATCAAATGAGCATGGTACCTCAGAAGCCAAATAAAATATTTAAAGGAGTAGAGAAAAAGCACAACTGATCATCTTTGTCAAATGGTGCTGATAGGTCAAATAAAATGAAGACTGAGGACTGACCACTGAATTGAGCAACATGAAAGTAAATATTACCTTAAAAAAAAGTTTTCATAAAATGGTAGGAGAAAAAGGCAGATTACAGTGGGTTTAAAAGAGAGCAAAACGTAAGACGCTGGAGCCAGAAGTTTAGACAACTCTTTCAATGAAATTCCTGTAAATAAGATGTAAAATTTAGTACAAATATGTAATATATCTGAATAACATGATTACAAATCTGAGCTAAGGGACAAATATAAAAACTATTTCAAAATTAATAAATTTCTCAAGTATACACAGATAATTACCAAAAACTGATCCTAAAAGTAGAGGGCAACACATTTCAAAAATTTGAAATCTAGTATGTTCTGCAAATAATGTAATTAGCAAAAAGTCAATCAAAAAGATAAGTGAAAATTCATTATGTTTTTGGATACTTAAAATTACACTAATAAATACCAATAGATCAAGTAAGAAGTAATGATGAAAATGATAAAATATTTTATAAGAAGTACATAACAAAATTTGTAGAATACATTCAAGTAAGTATTTTGAGGGAAACTTGTTTATATGAGAAAAAAAAAAAAGCCTGAAAAGTAATAATATAAGCATTCATCTGAAGAAATTTGAAAAAAAATAAAAATAAATCTAAAGAAAATAGAAGGAAGTAATAAAGAACAAAACTTAATGAGGAACTCCAAAACAAAATGTTGGTCCTTTGAAAAGACTAATAACAACAGACTAAAAAAGAGGAAATCACTACAGATTCTACAGACATTAAAATGCTCATAGAATATTGTAAACATTATCCTAAATGTTTTAAAATTTAAAGAAAATGAACAAATGCCTTAAAATATATAAACTGAATGGCATAAGAAATTTCTAATAGTTCCTTTATCCATTAAACAAAATAAAAACTCCCCCCCCCAAAAAAAGTTGGACCCAAAAGGCTTCATTGGTTAAGTACTAAAACTTCAATATTATGCCAACTCTTCCAGGTAATAAAAGAAGACTAAATGAATTGAGATTATTATAAGGTTTACATGACATTGATACCAAAATCTGATTTTAAGAAGCCCAAGAAAAGCAAGTTATTGGCCAATCTCAATTATAAAAATAAATGTAAATATCTTAAAGAAAGCATTAACTGACACCAGAAATCTATAGAAAGTATAACATACCCTAACTGATTTGACAAAACACATCTATTCCTGAAAAAAAAAAAAAAAGTCTCAGTAATCTAGGAATAAAAGGAAACTTCTTCAACCTGAAAGAAGACATCTACAAAAAACATACAGCTAATATCATACTAACTATTGAGAATCTAAATGCTTCCCCTTACAATGTGGAAGGACGTCCACTTCATCATTTCTATTCAACATTGTACTGGATGTTCTAGCCAATGCAATAAGGCAAGAAATAGAAAGAAAAAAAAGCATGCAGACTGAACACGTAAAACTATCTTTATCTGCAGATGACCTGTCTACGTAGAAAATTAAATGGATTCTACAAAAAGGCTAACTAGAACTAAAAGGTAAATTTAGCAAAGTTGTAAAATACCAGATAAATATATAAAAATCAATTGTAGGACTTCTGGTTTTAACCCTGACAAGTAAAGAGCTTAGAAACTGTCATTTCCACTGTTATAACAACAACAAAAAATGAACAAAATGAAAATCAAAGACTTTCTGTGACACATTAGAATAGTCAATTACAGAACAAACTACCAGTTCAAAATCTGAAAAGATAACCAAGATCTGCTCATTTGGAGCAGAAGCCACTGGAATCACAAATGGTTAAGAACACTTAAATAGGGGAGCCTGGGTGGCTCAGTTGTTGGGCGTCTGCCTTCACCTTGGGTCATGAGCCCTGGGCTTGAGCTCAGTGGGGAGCCTGCTTCTCCCTCTCCCGCTCCCCCTGCTTGTGGAAGTTCCCTCTCTCGCTGTTTCTCTCTCTGTCAAATAAATAAAAATCTTTAAAAAAAAAAAAAGAACACTTAAATAATAATTTTGACACATTGCTGGAGGCTGAGTTCGTATTTACATGAGAGTGAGAAGCTCCTAGAGGCCACAGTTTTAGAGGGATCCCTATATTTCAGTGTTTACCTCCAGGAACTCCACTAGGTTCTCACAGTAAAGATCTGAGAAAGATCCCCTGTGATTCTGACAGGAGGAAGTAATTATTGTGAAATATGCCCAGAGCATACTCCATAATAAAGGCTTACTCTTCAAATAAAAAGACTTTACCATAGCCTTATCCGAGCTATAAAAGGACATTTCTCCCACTTTACCCTCTCTAGCCTTCCTGTCTCACATAAGTGGATAAAAAATAAATAAAAGTTATACCAATGGAAAAACACTTGTAAACATCATAGCCCAGAGACACACGTCCACTAAAAGACTGAAATTTAAGTACAAGAGTAGAGAACATATTCCCTCCTCTCATCTTTACCACACTAACAGGGCTCCATGATAATCACAGTGAATCACAACCCAAAGAGCTGCAAGATGCATGCTCTCACTGAGGAAGGGTACCCAAGGAAGCCTAATGTCAAAAGGAAAAACAACAATCAGGACAACAGAGGAATTTGAAGTCTCTGCCACCTGCATCTACAACAGACATTGAACACAGCTCAACTGCCAGCCAAATTAACATAAACATTCACACTAAAGGCTTATTTACTTCAGTTAACACCCAATACAATATGTGTGGCTTCAATGAAAAAATTACAAGGCATGCCAAAAGTCAAGCAAAAACACAAAGGAAGGATAAAACCAGACTCAGATATAGCACAGACACGGGAATTATCAAACAGGACATTTTAAATAACTATGACTATTTGGTTAAGGGCACTAATGGAAAAATAGACAATATACAGTAATGGGGGGTAACATAAACATTGAGATGGAAACTGAGAGGAACAAAAGGAAATGCTAGAAAGCAAAATACTGTGACAAAAATAAAGAATGCCTTTGATGGGCTCATCAGTAGATTGGACACAGTCAAGCAT